CCCCAAAACCCCAAAACCCCAAAACCCCATGACTTAAAATTAGATGTAATTGTGTAGATATAGTAAAGTTTATAAAATATAAATTCCTATTAATTATTAAAATGATACCTTTGATGGGTATCATAAATATTAAGTAGATATTATCCATATTAATTATTAAGATAGCTTTATAAGCATCTTCATTCAATGAAACTGTAACAGAGAGCATAATTAGCCATACAATCCTCTATTAACATACATTGAATGCCTCAAATAAAATGAGTACCTCATTAAGTGTCATAGTAGAGGCAAATATTATTTACAAAGAAGTTATAATCAAAGGTTTTGTAGCCCTCACTTTCAAAGAACTCTATTCCTTTCTCTTTCAGAGCATTCAATCGGTCCTTGTTACTGTTATATTCTTTAGTGAGATTAGCTGCTTGCTATGCATCTGTGAGTTTGGAATCAGATTGATCTGCATCAGAGAAGATAGGCTAGACCCAATAATCCTTGTTATCATCCTTTAGTGGAATAAAACCTAGAACCTTGAGCTTATGGGGCTGATTAGGAGGTGTTGTTAAGCTATATATGACAAGAAATTGTTAAGTCAGTTGTGACTAACTCATATTTGAATCTTCTCTGTTAATAGAAATATGCTTGATTGGAGTCCAAACTACAGCAAACCAACTTGATATTAGATCAATATCAGATTCAATTCTAAGATTTTTGAGATTAGGATGCTCCTCTAATATCTCACCAACCTATAAGATGAATGGATCTCTCGAGTAGTTTGGTCTCTCCTCATGATATTCATATACTCTGCGAAATCTGTTAGAGTTCTAATTCAAACTAGAGTGATTCTGGCTAACTTTATTGGTGCTATTGAGATTTATCAAGAAATCTGATATTTCATTCTAAGATGATTTCTATTCAAAGTAGCTAAGATATAGAGAGGAAAGAGTAGGAATCATGACTAACAACTCTTTTTGCTCCTCAATTTAGTTGTAAAGCTGTACCTTAGCACCGTTTATAGAAGAATCATTGAAGGATAGTAGAAGCTAGCCTAGAGTGAAATTCTCACTAGAAATTTAAGGAGTGAGAGTATTAAGTAAAAGTTCAAGGTTATTTTTATACTAGATAGTTGGTTACTATACTAATGTTGGTTGTGGAATTTACTACTGCTATATTTAGAAAGGCTGAATATCTGGTTGATAGTGTAATTATTGATTAATGAAGTAATTTGGGTTCAAAAGCATTGGAAATTAGTAAAACAATTACTACTATTGTTGATTTAGCAAAATCATCTACTATTACAACTAAAAGTTACTTCTCATAATAACATTTGGGTCATAGTTGAAAGTTTACGTTTAAAATTAGGAGTACTAGGGTTTCTAAGGATAAAATTCATTTATGCTGTTTTAATTGGAATTTTCGACTATTTTATTTTGAATTTAAGATGACATGGTCTTTCCAAGATTTTGTTGAACAGTCAGATTTGTTGAATTCATTTCATAAATACTATTATCAGCTTTAGATTCAATTGATTCCTCATCAATGGGCTTTACTTTGATTCTCTAGAATTCCTCAAGTAGATTGAGTGGCCTAGCTTCTTCTTTGAATGAATAAATATCGACTTTGTTGTTACTTCTAACACCCACTAAGTTTGTAAAATCTTTCAAGATCATTTGATTCAAAGGGGATATAGGATTAAATGAACTAGCAGCAGTAGTTATTGGGGCTTTTTGAGAGAATTTACTTAAGGGCAGATCGAAGCAAATAATGATCTTATTAATGATGCCATTTTGTAATACTAACTGATTAAAGTTTGAGAGAAACTATTCAATGTAGGGTAAATTATCAAAGCTAAACTAGACACCAACTGATTTAGGAATATTTAGCATTTTACAATGTAGATTATTTGTTCTTAATAGAAAAGGCCCAACTCCTTGCTAATTCATTTAGTTCATGATATTCATATTATATCTGAAGTTAAAAGTTAAGGGCTATTGTTCCTGATGATAGTAACATCTTTATCCATTATACTTACATCTTGGAGTGCACCGATAGAGTTAATTAAGCTTTTGATGAACTTGCTTTTGAATGTGCTCTTTATAGTCAATTATTCTTTGTTGAATACTCTTTACTATTTTTTTACCTTGAAGCAAGTAGTGTAAATCATGTTGCAATATCTTCTACCCATGGCAATACCCATTAACATAATAGTGAAAGGTTGAATCAACAAGTTACTAGTTTATGATTCTAGGATGAGCTTCTTGGACTTCTGTATCATTCAAGTTTAAGGGTATAGATGTATCTATCAGCGGTATATCTTTTAAGTCAAATTCAACACAAAACATGTTCTCACACATTTAATTCTATAAGATATCCTCACATCTGACATCTAAAAATCCATCTGAATTGTTCAATGGTAATTCTAAAGGAGAAATATCTTGTTATTCAGCTGAACTACAGGGCATGAAACCATTAAATTCTTGCAAGTTTAGGTTCTAGGATTATACAATTGGAACATTGGAAGTTTAATTAGCAGTCTCGTTTTAAATGTAAGCGTCAATTATATCTTGAGTGAATTACTGAGCACCTTTGTTTAGATATCCATACTATCTGACTGCTATTGCGCCATGCTTGATTTTAATTGCCTTATTTTGGTTGAACTTAATTGCTAGGTTCCATTGCGCACATTTTCTCAAGCAGTTTACAGTCATAGGGTGTGTGCATGTAACAGTGGGATCAATCTTAGGGGTAGAAAACTAGGAATTCTGAGGATAGGGATTATTTGAATAATTTTGTGGGGTGTCATTTGAACTTCCTGATGACTAAGGAGTCTCAAATTGCATTCTTTATTAGTAGATCTGATTCAGTTAAGTAGGGTTAGGGAATATCATAGAGGGAGTTTGGAGAAATTATGGTTGATATTGCTGTTGAGGAGGATTAATAAAATAAGGACCAGCCAAAATATGCTGGTTTTAATATTATTGAGGCTGTTAGGGGACTGAATTAATTATTTGTTGAGTATTGGGCATAACCTGAAAATGCTAGCTTGTTATGGGCTCTGATGATTAGATAATATCAGCTTAGTGCATTTGATACTACTTCTAGTACAATTTTTAGGTGTTGGGATAAAATTAACTAGAGTGCTGTTTTGGGTTTCTTGGTTCATATTATTCTTTTTCATTTTGCTATTAAATTTTCTAATTTTTCGATAATTCTTTTTGTGAGTCATTTTCTTAATCATAGTAATAACTTTGAGTTTATCTCTTATCCCTTTGCTAGTATTGTGATGCCTTCGGATATCTATAATCTATTATAATTTAAGTATGAGTTATTAGGAATAATATGTGAATTCTCTTAAAATCACTTTATTTCATAAAATGATTATTGTCCCAAAAATATACTACTAATTTACTGAGTTTGGGAGAGTTTATATTAGTTATTAGCACTTACCCTGATAATTCTTGCTCTAGTAGTGGTTGCTAGATTGATAGTTTCGATTTCTGTTTGATTTTTGTGAGAGCCTATCGCTACTCTCATAGGGTACTCTTTCATAGTACTGATCTTAGTAATGATTCTGAAGATGTCTCTAACTCATTTTATATTGCACAATTATTAATTGTTCGCAATTGCAAATTAAAATACTAATTTTGAATTTTTAGACGTTAATTTAATCTCTCACTTTCACTAATAACAATTCTTTGAATAACTTTAATTTCACTCCCTAAAAAAGTTAATTTTGTTAAGTTAATGCCCTGACCAGTTAAAATTCAAAACTTAAATTATTAACATTTAAACATATCATGGATACCTATCAACAACTTAACTTCAATTATTCACCATATGTTAAATAACTCAACTAGCTTGGCGATATCCAATCTAGAGTAAATCCAATCAGTTTAAATACTACCAACTCACAGTCCAGATGGTCTTAAAACTTACCACCCAAAACAGTGTCATCTTAGAGTAATACCTAATTTAGCAATAATCATAACCTGATTATGAATTAACTTGAGCCAGATGTCCTTTACTCTGAATCTATCTCTTAAAATAGATCTCCTCTCAATTACTAGGAAAGTAGACCTATGAGCACTTCTAATTAACTCCTAAATAATGACATTTTGAATTAGAAATCGAGATCACTCATTTAATAATACAATAAATATAACCAGCATTAAGCTAGTAACAATATCATAGTTAATTCCGCTGGATAAAATCAAACACAAACTTCAAATAATCATACTAAGCAGGTGTCTCTTTTTAATGCCTCTTCCATTTAGGGTTCTGTGTTCAATTCTAACATAAAGAAAAATCCAAATGCTCAGATACAGAGTAACAAGCTTAATAGTAGTGGTAACAACAATAATAAGATTGATTTCACAGACATAATGAATTAACTTTCATAGCCAAGTTCATTAGAAACACCTTTTAAAGATGATTAGCAGCTCAGATAATACCTTGTATGCAATGGAAGTGAATTAGGGGATTCAACTGTGCTTATTGGAGGTGGATACCAAGAATAGGAATCTTTTAAGCCACCTCAACAAGAGATGTATATTTAGGATCAGCAAATGACTTATGAGATTGATGGTTTTTAGATATAAGAGGAGTTGGGCAATTAAGATGAACTAAGACAGTAAGATTTGATAGTTGGTGGCACAGGCTAGAAAAATCATGTGAATGGAGGTACTAAGAGAATAATATTTGAGATTAAAGATTAGTCATCGGCTGATTAATCTAAGTCAAAGAAAGTAAATGTGAAGGACATGGCTAGTTAGCTGGACGACCTGAAAGATCACATTAAAAATCTTGAATAGAAAATTGAGACTACTTCCTAGAACATCATGCAATCCTCTTAAAAACCATAGAATACTAGTACAACTTCATTGAATAGACATAATAGCGCCTATTTTAAAGTTAGCGAATAGCTAGATAAGAAGAAAGAGAAGCCAACAAAGGATAAAAGAAAGCACTCAGCTTAGAAGTCAAACAAAAAGCACCAAAAGAACATATCATGGGGTGATAGTTAGCTCATCCAAGAATCTTAGGGAACTGATGATTATGGACGTAGAAGAAGTAGTATGGGATTATCTAGTATGAACAGCCGAGATCATCATGCTCAAATCAAATAATACTACAATATGATCAACAATAAAGACAAAGCTAATAAAGCTAAGAATAAGCTTAGCGAGGTGAGTAGTGCAACTAATAATATGAGTAATTATCAAAATAGATTATTAAGTGATAGTTCTCATGGCTAAAACTAGAATTCTAATAGATCCAAACTAAAAAGTTCAAAATTCGATATAGTCGCTTAAAATTTAAATCTCAAGCAAAATTCTAAGCATTAAAGAAACAAATCACTGGATTCATTCAGCAGTAACACAAAGAGCAAGGGGATATCAAGCAGCTAGACTAAAAAGTTTAATATATCTATAGCAGGGGGTGTCGGCAGCTTTATTAATAATGCTAAGTAAAGAAGCGGGACGAAGTTTGATCATCATAGAGGGGAGAGCGATGGTCTAAGTACTTACAGAATGAGTAGTGACTTTACTTGTAGTGGGCTGGATCCAAACAGAAGGTTTAGTGAGATTGAAATACCGTTTAATTACAAGCAAAAGTCAAGATAAAACTAAACAAATGCACTAATTTAATCTCATACATCCAACAACAGAAACCATAGTAAAATTGGTGCCAGCACTACTGAAACAGGCATTAATTTGACTTAGGTATCTTAAGGCTAGTCAAAGACAAAGCATCAAGATTCGTCTAATTACTAAAGTAATAGTAATAAAGCAAAGGAATGTGAAATGTACAAATAGAAATGCTTTAAGTATCAGAAGAAGATCAAGTTGCTGAAATCAGAGCTCTAAGAAAAAGACACTATCATCAATAATTACAAGAACTTGAATAAAGAACTCAAGACTATCAAAGATCAATATCGAATGAGTGAGGATATTAGAGATTAGCAAACTTAGCAATTAAAGAAACTTTAGGCTTTACTTTAACAATCATAAAAAGAAATTGCTAAATATAGGAAAAAATTTACGAAGCTAAAGGAAAAAGAAAACATGCCAATTAAGGTCATGATTGAAGATAGATCTAGTTTTAATATGCAATAGAATGCTTCATCTACAAATATAACTGAGGGAGGCAGTCAAAAAGGCAAGAAGAAAAGTCTTTAAGAGAAATCTAGTTAATGAACCAATTACCTATATCTAAACTTATTATCCTATACATTTAACAGCTCATAACTATAATATTCCTTAATCATACACTCTACTCTCTAAGGAATTGGGGTTTTGGGGTTTTGGGGTTTTGCTTGGTTTGT